AAAAAAAAAAACATTACAAAAATTATCAAATTAGAAATTATAAAATGATAATATTGTTACATATCTGTTTTAAAATCATAATCGTTTCCTTTTCTTCCTTCTAATACACGGATTAAACCGGATGGGGAATGAGGAAGCGCGTCGGCTGAATTTTATTTCATTCCTTTTCACCGGTTCGCGGATTATTCAAAACGCGACGGCACTTCACATTCGCGTCGAAAAATCGATGCGCGTTACTACATAAGCGTGAGCGCGCAATTAAGTTACTCATTCTGTCATTATAACGGCTTAATAATAGAGACCGATCTTCGCGGCAGTCTGACAAAGTGTCACAAGGAATTAACCGGATGCCTTCGCGCGAGAAATAGAGAGACGGTCGAATGAGGTTTATTAATTAATTAATTCAATAAGAAACTTAACACATCCGTTGTAACGTGAATCGGAGTCTGCATTTCGTCGGAATTGGCTTTTTATAGCAAACTGATATAGAATGCCGGAAGTACGAAGATAATTCGTACAAAATGATCAGTGCTAAGTTCTTATTCACAGATTCATGTATATCGAGTTTGAAAATCTAATTCGATACACACAAAACTAATACACTCCTCAATTTTCTCTCTCTTATTTTTACGTATCTGACATCTTTCGAAAATTGGACAGAAATCATAGCAATTCGATTATTATACGAATTCACACTCACAATTAGCGTAGTTCAGCGATTTATCTTAATGAGAAAAAAAGGATGGAAACTTTTTTCTGAAAAAATAATATACTCACGTGCCCATGTCTGTCCATGTCATTGTTAGTGAGCTTGACTTTCTCGAAAGAGACGACCTGCTTTCGGAGCTGCTCGCCTGTGAAAGGTGAATCCGGATGGACATAGAGCCGGGCTGGCGCCGGCGGATCCGCCTTTCCGGCCACCAACCAGCAGCTCCTATGATATGCGTATCGATACCTCTTGTTGTCAACCGGCACGATGTCCATCAGGACCGCGTATCGACTGTCCGCCTTCAGTCCGTTGAATGAGACGCGACATGTCGGAAACATTCGCCTGCGCAAACATAAAACACTTTGTTAGTCAAAGAAGTTCAAAATTCAAAACAAATTTGAATACTTTGTTTTTAAACATTTTCAAATGTTTGCAATCATCAAATAGAGAGAGAGAGAGAGAGAGAGAGAGAGAGAGAGAAAGAAAAGAATAAAAATATACAATTTTTTACTACTAATTCATTATTATTAATTAAATTGAAATTCTCAATTCAAAACTATTCTTAACTTGTAAAAGATATGACAAATTTCCAAACGATTTCATCCATTTTTATTTTGTCATTTATAAATACAATATAATTTTTCTTAGACAATATTTATAAGTATAAGTCCAAATTAGTTAAAACAATTATTTTTTCGTCTTTTTCTAGAATAGAGACTTTTGAGATTCTCAATAAATTAGAAGCGCTGCATTTTAGTAATCAATGATCCAGGGTGATTCGCGATAATTTTAGAATTGATCCGTTCACGGTCATCGATGCATAGTGTACGAGAATAGAATGGAACGGAAAAGAAGAGGACGAGAGGGCGATGGGCCCGGATTCGCGGTTAGAGGCGAGGGAGTCCGCGGGGACACGGGACATGGCGTGAATGTTTTGCCTCGGAGGCCAAACATTAATACCGTGTCGGGCCCCCCGCTGCTCGGCCACTAAAACGCGGGGACACCCGCCGATCTTATCTGCGTCTTCTCCTCGGTCCTTGTCGACTCGGTATGCATTCATCCTGCCAGCGCCACGAGTGTGAGTAATGCTTTTATTTATCAAGCCGTCTTTTGTTAATGAATTGAACGAGGGGGAAAAGGTGGGACCTCACCCTCGCACCATTCCCACCTCTGCCTCTCGTTGTCCTCGTTTGTACCTGATTTTTAACCCTTCTCCCCCTTTCGCGCGACCATTTCTCTCGTGACGCGAGCACCGAAGATGCCTGTAATTTTTTTCTCACAGGCGGATTATCCACCAAATTCCCACCTCGCCGTGAGGAAAGTAGCTTTATACAGAATGTGAAAACTCAGTCTGATTGTGAGCTTTAGGAAAAATAGAAATCCTTCAAAAAATAAGGATAAAACAATCCTTGTAAAAATATTTAAAAAATTTAAATTGCGTACTCCTTTTTCTCTTTCTCTTTCTAATAAAATAAAAAATTTTCGAGAAATTAAAAATACTCATTCACATTATTCACACAACAAATCTCTTACAAATTTACATTTTGCGATACAAATTGCATAAAATTGCCAAGTTTAAAAAATCAATGAGGCGAAACGAGCGGAGCATGAGCGAAAAAGTTTCTGAAATTTTCCATAGATAGCGAGAAGAAACGTAATGGAAGACAGAGAGAAGGAGGGTTGAAGCGAGTACAAAGGAGGGGAATCTCGGGCCGCCTAGTGGTGGAAAGTCTAAGGGATGATAAGGGGCGGTAAGTTGACGGTTGAAGGGAGCGACGACCAGCGTCGCTGAGACGCAGATCTAATTACCGACGCACGAGTAGGCGCGCACCCGGCTGAAGGAATCCCCCCTCTATGCGGGGGGGGGGGGGGGAATAAAGAGCAGGGATGTTGCCCATCGTGGCGGGCAATTAGGCGCGCGCCGGCCGCGTCGTCCCTCCCATCTTTTCCGCCTCCTTTCGCTTCCGTAGTTTCCCAGTTTTCTCGAGAATCCATTCAATGTTATCCTCGCACTCCATCTCAAACTTCCGTCCAGGACCGGCGCCAGCGACTCCCCCGTACATAAAAGGCTGATATCTCGTTTCATTCACACAAAAAAAAATATTATATAAAATATTATATAAAATTAAAATAATAATAAAAATAATAATAAAAATTAAAACATTAAAATATTATATAAAAAAAATTGATAAAAAGAATCTAATTCTATAGCACAATTAATTCGAGCGTAATTTTTTTTCGCAAGGATTTAATATTTATCATTAAATATATTTTGATATTAAATATCGAATTTTAAATGTACGTTACAATTAAATTTATAGTGTGTGATGAGAAAATATATTTATTAAACCCGCCATATCAGTATCTTGGTTTTCTCTAAATAATATATTCCAATTATCTTATTGTTAGAAATATCACTCTACTCCTTTCCTCCCCCATTAACTCGTTCTAATCTATCGTATTGATATAAAGGATTATTTGCCACGGCTCTCTCGATAGTTAACTTCGCGTCCAATGTTAGCATTTCCGTCGTTAAGTCGGAGATATATGTTTGAAAAGGTGTGGTATATCGCGAGTCGAGACGAACATAAAACTTTTCGGGCTGCCTTCCGCGAAGAAGTAGAGGCAGCCCTGAGAGATCCCCCCAGGACTTCTCTCCCCTCATAGTGTGATCCCACTCGAATCCTCACGCCTTCGGTCGCCACCGCTCGTCCCAAGGACCCTTATAAACTGGCATAAGCTCTCGCCCGGTTTCTACACCGACCCGACTAATTGACTGACGGTCAATATAGCAATTTAACCCGCCGCTTGCCACCAGCTCGTTCCCCGCTTTTTATTCTCCTTCTTCCACCCCCC